TGATTGGGGAAGGCTGAACCGCATCCGCGAGCCAACAGCTCGACAAAACATTGCCACGGGCCACCGCCTACACCATCCAGCTCACTCGCTCTCTGAAGACGAGGTCTCCTCATCTGGATCTGCGGCGCCCTGCGCCACCTCCGCGTCGGGCTGCTCACGTGAAATCGTGCTGATATCCTGGTGCGCAATCGCCTTGACGCGCAAGTGGGCGCTCTTGCTTGGGATCGTGCACTCCCTGCCGCGGATCTGGGATGCCGTTGCTATCAGCTATCGCGCGACCTCCTCCCCCTCCTCCTCTTCTTCCTCCACATCCTCCTTATCCTCCTTCTCCTCCTCATCAGCATCGTCATCATCATCATCCACCGCCGCACCCTCCTCCTCGCCCAGAAACTTTAAACGTGCGATCCTTCACCGTTTTCTGCGGCGAAGAGAGCACGTGCTTCGCCCTGAGCTTCACGATCCCAGGGATGATGATCCCACCGCGGGTGGTGATCTCCCTGATGGTCACCACCCGAAGCGCCGACATGACGCGCGCCACGTCTTCAGCAGTCACATGGTGGAGACAGAAGGTGGAAAACAACAAACAGGGGACCTGCCAGCCGTATCACCATACTTCGAGCTGAAGTTCGAAGTGTGATGATGCGGCTGGCAGGCAATACCTACAGCAGCAGCTGCAACTAGGCGTGGGGCGTGGGCACTGTTGCACTCCCTCTGGCACCTTGGCCATGCGCTCGCCAGGTGCTGCCCAAACGGTAGCAGTCTCCTCGCTGATCGCCGACGTCAGCTGGTGGCGAGGCATCACCCACCGATGCATAGGAAGTGGCCTCGCTGGCGCCGCTGCTGCTGGAGCTGGCGCCGCGTCCGCCGCAGCCGCTGCAGCTGGCGCCGCCATCGTGGAGCGTAAAACGTGGTGAAGCGTGAAGCAGTCAACCGAAGCTCCCTGGAGCACCTGCGAAAGGAAAGCTCGAGCCTGGGAGCTCTGGCAGGCCAGGACCACCTTGTCATAAGTCATAAGTATCCTCTTTTCGAGTTTTCACTCCTTCACCCCTCCATCCCTCCCCCTTTCCCTCACGGGCCCAACATCAAGACTGTGCACTGCACGCGGCATTACAACATGACAAACGCATGCGACCATGACATGGCATGCACACGACCATGACATGCACAGGGTACCGCACATGACATGCCATGCACAGACAGACCAATACAATAACACATTACTACTACTACTACCATCGCTACTACTACTACTACTACTACTACTACTACTACTACTACTACTACTACTACTACTACTACTACTACTACTACTACTACTGTTGTTTCTTCTACTACTGTTATTTCTACTATACTGTTACTACTAAACCAAACATACGACAGTAAAGCCTAATTAATCGCACGGTGAAGCCAACATGGGGACAACTACCATGGGGAAGCATGCGGGAACGAACAAACATAATGCGAGTAATAAGGGTATCTTGGGAACCATAGCAGACCGCAGGGGGGGGGCGGCAATGGGACTTCACGGGGAGCAGCGGGCGGCTACGAGGAATCGTCACGGAAACGCAGAAAACTCTGAGACGATATGGTAAGAGGCCCGACCCCGCGCAAGAAGGGACGACTCGATTAGTCTGGGACACTAAGACACCAATGCGATATCGACATACAGTAAACGCACACCACTGCCCTGGTAAAGATGATGGTGCCGACGCGCCGACCAACGCTCCGGGACGGTGGATGATGATGATGATTGACGATGCTTCGGTACGTGGCTATATTGCTGGGGAGAACGGAACACAGTTTTGAAAAACAACTCGCTCGATGCGGTGGAACGTTACGGACCCCGTGCGAAATGGCAGACGGCGGGGACAACGGCGGCGGGGGACGACGGTAAATTGCTACGCGTGCGACGTTACCAACGAAGGCCGATCGCGTAGTTTTGGGCCGCCCGCACAGGCGAACTCTCGTTTCCAAACAATGGCGAGGGAGGCGGGGGAGGGAGCGGCGGGGGAGCTTGCGCATATGAAAAAAAAATGCCTGGGCCCTGAGGTGCTTCGCATAATACTTACGACATATGATCGTTTCGCGCGCGCAGCGCGCGAAACGGTTTGCAATATTTACTATTCACGGTCGTTTAAGACAGAGGGGGAGGGCGCGCGTGCGTTTGTGGTGGTGGTGGTGGTGGTGGTGGGTGGGTGGGGGGTACTTTGCAATATTTTTGATGGCAGAAAAAAACCTTGAGTTACTTTGCAAAGTTTAGGATGGCACGGCGCGCGCAGGCGGTAAAGCTGCCTGGCAGGGGCGGAGAGAGAGGGAAAACAAGGGTGGGGTTACGGCGGAGGGGGGGGGCAAGGGTTGGATACGCACCGAGACGGCAAGCTGCCTCGAGCGCCCCAGAGGGTGGTGGAGAGGGGAGGAGGGAGCGGCAGGGGAGCTTACAATTAAAACATAGCAATTGCGTGGGCCCTGAGGTGCTTCGCGCAATACGTACGGTTCACGACCGTTTCGCGCGCGAAGCGCGCGAAACGGTTTGCAATATTTGCGATTCAACGGCCGTTTGCGGAAGAGGGGGAGGCAGCGCGTGCGCGCGCGGGGGAGGGCGTGGGTACTTTGCAATGTTTACGATGGCGGAATCGGCCCTGTGCAATTTGCAAAAATTCGGATGGCACGGCACGCAGGCGGCAACGCTGCCTTGCAGGAGTGGGGGAGGGGAGGGGAGGGGAGGGGGAGGGGTTAAGTGTGGGGAAGCGGAAAATCGGATGCGCACCGCGACGACAAGCTGCCTCATGGGTACCTCAGAGGGTTGCGGAGGGGAGGAGGGCGGTGAGAGGGGGTGCTCAAGGGCGCCTCAGGAATTGGGGGAGGTGGATGGAGGGGGGAGAGGGGGGGGGCGCGGCCGCGGAGCGAGGGCGGGGGCCACCTCAGAGGGGGCGAAGTGAAGGAGCCATTTCGCTCGGCAGCGCCAGACCGAAGTTGCGTTCGCGAGTTGGTCCGCAAAGTTGCGAGTTGCGTTGGCGAGTTGCGTTGGCGAGTTGCGTTGGCGAGTTGCGTTGGCGAGTTGCGTTGGCGAGTTGCGTTGGGGAGTTGCGTTGGTGAGTTGCGTTGGCGAGTTGAGTTGGCGAGTTGCGTTGGAGAGTTGAGTTGGCGAGTTGAGTTGGCGAGTTGCGTTGGCGAGTTGAGTTGGCGAGTTGCGTTGGCGAGTTGAGTTGGTGAGTTGCGTTGGCGAGTTGAGTTGGCGAGTTGAGTTGGCGAGTTGAGTTCGCGGTGGCCTGGATGGCCTTCCCAATAGAAATCCTTTAGTGCACCCGCGCGAGTTGCGTTGGCGAGTTGCGTTGGCGAGTTGAGTTGGTGAGTTGCGTTGGCGAGTTGAGTTGGCGAGTTGCGTTGGCGAGTTGAGTTGGCGAGTTGAGTTGGTGAGTTGCGTTGGTGAGTTGAGTTGGTGAGTTGCGTTGATGAGTTGAGTTGGTGAGTTGCGTTGACGAGTTGAGTTGGCGAGTTGCGTTCGCGCGAAGTTGCGTTGGCGCTGCCGCTTCGCTCCACCATCCAACTTCGGGCTTCAGACTTCGCTCCGCCGTTTCGCTCGCCCCCGCCAACTTCGCTCCCTCCTCCACTTTCTACTCGCAACTTCGCTCCCCCATCCAAACTGCCGGGCGCCCAGGCGAGCGGCGAACCGACTTCGCCCCCGCCGACGCGCGTGCCCACCTTCGCTCCGCAGCCAGGCCCCTCTCACCTCGCGCCACCCCTCCGCCCCCCTCCCCCCCCTCCACCTTCCCCGCACCCCTACGCCCCCCCCTTCACCACCCCCCGCCCCTTCCCGCCTCGCCCCACCCCCACCCCGCCCACCCAGCCACCCCTTTCCCCCCTCCCTCCCACCCGCACATCACCCCACCACAGCCCAACCCCACGGCGCGCCGCCCCCTCACCCTACCCCCCTCTCCACTCACCCACCCACCCACCCACCCACTCTTCACCCCTCCACCACCGCCACCCGCTCCATCCCGCCCTCGCGTATGTCCCAGATGACCGCGCGACGAATTACCCTGCCAAATCGACACGAACAGTCAGTCTGCATGCAACGTAAACCGTCTACCAACGTTTCGTCTCGGCGCCAAGTGGTTCTGATTCTCCAGGCCGAACGCGATCGCCAACAGGGGCTTCGCGTCGCGCCACCGCTACAGAGTCCCAAACTCAGCGAGCAAGTGTGCCACGGACTACGAGCGCATCTGCAAGCCCGTTGCGCCTCGGGCAGCGCCAAGCTGGGCGGCGAGAGAGGCCGCGTCGCTCGGCGGCGCGTGCTTGCGGTCTCCGGAAAACATCAAGTTGTGGCAACCTCTGGGGATGAAGGTGCTTGAAGGGGGCGCGGCTCGTGATTCATGAAACTTTAGCGCTCCTCCTCCCCCTCCTTCTCCTCCTCCTCCTCCTCCTCCTCCTCCTCCTCCTCGTCCTCCTGCTTCTCCTTCTCCTCCTCCTCCTGTTCTTCTCCTTCTCCGTCCTCCTCCTCCTCCTCCTCCCCCTCCTCCTCCCTCTCCTCCTCCTCTCCCCTCCGCTCCATCCTCCTCCTCCTCCTCCTCCTCCTCCCCTCCTCCTCCTCCTCCTCCTCCTCCTCCTCCTCCTCCTCCTCCTTCTCTCTGTCCTCTTCGTCCCCCCCCCCCTCCCGCAGCGCTGGCTCGCGCTGGCAGCGAATCCCGAGAACGCACGAAACGCGAACGTACACACAGAGAACCAGACAATGCGCCCTCCCCCATCACCGACCTGCCCCTACCCCCCTGACCGCCGACCAATCGGCCGCGCGCCGTCGATGGCCGCCTCTGCAGCGTTGCTGCCGCCGTTGCCACAACTGCCGCCGTTGCGGGTGCGGCCGCCGCGGCCGCGGCCGCGGTTTCTGCTGCCGCCGCGGCCGCGAACGCGGTTCCCACGGACGCTGCCGCGTCTGCCGCGGCCACGGCGGGCCCAGCGCCGCCGCTGCGGTTGCCGCGCCTGCGGCAGCCTCAAAGGGCCGCCTGCGCGGATGCGTCCGCCGCTTGGTGCGCGTTCTTGCTGCCAGCGAGTCCTGCTTCCAGGATTGCGAAAAGGGCCGCCTGCGCGGATGCGTCCGCCGCTTGGTGCGCGTTCTTGCTGCCAGCGAGTCCTGCTTCCAGGATTGCGAATCTCTGGGCGTCGCCCTCGGGCCACGCCAACTCGCTCTTCGCGGCGCCGAATGGGACCCCCTCGTCGATGGGGCAGCGAGCGCGCGTTGCTGCGTCGACGGCGGCGCAGAAGGACTTGGGGCCCTCGCGGGCGCCGCCCTGCGCGAATCCGCGCGCGCTGGCTGCGCGGCGCAGCTTGCCGCCGCGACGACGGGCGCGCTCGCCCCGGGGGCGCCCCGTTCGCCCAACGCACTTCTGGGGCGGAGCCACTCGGGCCAATTGGGCAGCGTTCGTGGGGCCGCGTGCTCGAACTCGTCGCCGCGGCGCTGCGCCAGCCGAACGCGCGCGTCGCACCGCGGAAAGAAACTCGACAACGCCTCAATTGGGGCCGCCGCACCGCGGCAATGCGCCCCGAGCTCCGACGTGGCAGCTGGCCCGCAGAAGTGCAGCCAGGCCGAAACCTCAACCGAAGTCGATGAGGGTCACCTGGCCGCCGCGGGGGTCCAGCAGGAGGTCCATGGACCCTGCCCGCAGAGTGCCACCTCTGATGGCAGGGCTGGCCGCACTGGTCAAACGAATTGGTGCGTGTCAGTGCGCGAATTGGTGGTGGCGTGTGTTGTTGTTCTGGTTTCGGTGGTGGCGACGGTCATGATGGTGGCGATGGTGGTGGTGCGCGTTGCGGCTGTGGCGTCGGCGGCGGTGGCGTTGGGTTGCTGGTCGTTTGCTCCAACGCGCCCGCCCAACATAGAACGCCCTGATGACATCGAGGGACCATCGTCGGAATGGGTTGCAAGCAATGTGCGGGGAAGACGTCGGCAGCGCACGTTGGCCATAAAAAACGTCGCTGCGCAAGCGCTGCGCAGAGGCAACGGCGCCGAGCCTCCATCCCATCTCGCAGCGCGAAACTGCAGGTGACAAGGCCGTGGGGCGTCGAGCCTCGGCCCAAAATCGCGACGCCGAACCTCGGCCCATCTCGTGGGGCCTCTGCTATTGCCTCGGCACCTTTCTCGCGAGGCCACATGAGGCGCGCGCGCGCGCCCTCGTGGCGCGCGCGCGCCAGAGAACGTCGACAGGTGAAACGAGGGGGGGGGGCTTTTGGCAGGGGGTGGGGGTGGGGGTGTGGGGTGGGGGTGTGTGGGGTGGGGGGGGGGTGGTGGGGGGTGGGGTGGGGTGGGTGGGGGGGGGGGGGGGGGGGGTGTGGTGGTGGTGGGTGGGGGTTGGGTGTGGGTGGCGGGTGGGGGTGTGGGTGGGTGGCGGGGTGGTGTGGGGGGGGGGGGGGGGGGGGGGGGGGGGGGGGGAGGGGGGGCGAACGGTGATGGAGGAATGAGGAGGGGGGAAGCGAGGGGAGGAGGGGGGAATGAGGAGGGAGGAGTAATGAGTGAGAAGGATGGAAAACGAGGGAGCATGGGAGAGCGGCGGAAATGGTGGAGGAGGAGGAGGAGGAGAACGAGGAATGCGGAATACGAGGGGGGCACAACACAGGAGCAGGATAAGGAAGACGAACAAGAAGAAGAAGAAGAAACGGGGGACAAGGAGGGACAGGAACAGAAAGGACGAAGGAAGGAAGCGGGGGGAGGGAACAGCGAGGAGAAAGAAGGAAGGCGGAAGGAAGATGAAGGAATGGGATGAGGGGGGAAAGCCCAGGGATGACAATAGAGAAAAAAGGGCGGAGGGAGGAGGGAGGAGGGGGGGCGAAGGGGGAAGGATGGTGGATGTAGGCTGAGGGAGGGGGGAAGAAGTGGAGAAAGACGAAGGGGGAGGGGGAGGATAGGGAGAACGAGGGGAAAAAAAAAGAGGGGGAGGAGCAGGAGGAGGAGGAGGAAGACACAGAGGAACAGTGAGGAGGAACAGGCACGACACGGTCATCAGGGACACGGGGAACAACAAGGAGGAAGGATGGAGGAGGAGGAACAGGAGGAGAAAGGAGGAAGGTTGGAGGAACGATCAGGGAGAATTGAGGAGGGAGGAGGGGTGAGGGAGGAAGGATGATGGAGGGAGGAGAGGCGAGGACGGAAAAGGCAGGGGGGGGTGAGGGAGGAGGAGGATGAGGATGAGGAGGAAGAGGGAGAGGAGGGGGGATGATGGGGAGGAGGAGGAGGAGGAGGAGGAGGAGGAACTGGAGAAGGAGGGGGGGTGGAGGAGCAGGAGGAAAAGGAGGATTGCATCCAGAAGGCTTTACCCTGCTGTGCGCGGTCGTTGTGCCGACGGCGCGTCGGCGCCAACGCGGGGCGCGCGATCGGACGACCACGGGCGACAACGACGACGGACGACGACGATTGACGAAGACGATCGACGACGACATGCGACGACCGACGGGCGACGAATGACCGACGGACGACGCTGAACGACGCATGACCGACGAACGAACGGCGAACGAACGAGCACGCGGGACGACGGACGAGTGGCGACAAAAGGTTGCGGGAGCGGATGGGCGGGTGGGCAGGGGCAGGTGGGTAACGAAATTGATGTGTTTAGAGTGGGCGCATTGGGGGTACTAAGGTAACACGACGGTCGGATCTAAACAGATACATGAAACTTGTTACCACAGGCTACACTATAGATACATACCGACACCTACGGATGATGATATACATACAGGTGCTAAATACAACAACCATCTGTTTGCTACACATAATTGGGTACAACGGTGCAAACCGAAACATAACATGACAGTTACGAGTGGACGCATACGATCATATAGAGACACCACCACTGACACATAACATTGTTACACATGACACGTACACACATAGACACACAACCCTCTAAACATTACATACAACCCTCGTCAAAAATAAACTGAGGGATTCTGTTTTCGGTGATTGCATGGTCAGCGCTACTCCAATGCTGACGCTAGATATCTGACGTGGACGCAAGGGCTTCAAAAATCCGACGCACCCTCCGCAGCACTGAAGAACGCAATTTTTAACAAGTGCCCGAGAAGGTCGATCGTCGTGATTTCCAACTGCGTTTCTGTTTATTTTTGACGAGGCTTGTAGTTCCTTGTGTGAGGTTATTGGATTTTGTTTTAGGGCATGCGGCAGAACCCACTTCCCCCTCCCCTCCCTCCCCACGCGCGCGCCTCGAGAACCGCGGAGGTCACTCTTTTTGGCACCCCCCGCGGGGGCCGTGGCTGAGGGGGGGGGGACCCAGGGGATTATCATTGTCTACACCCCTCGCGAGGATCGTGGCCTCAGCCGTGCTGAGCCATTTCCCCCATGAGTTTGGGGAGATCTATGGTTCGACGCACCTCGCGAAGATCTTAGCCTCCGAGTTGGGAGCCGCAATCGCCCACCCCCCTCTCCCGCCCCAAGATACCGCCAAATGCCCTCCAAGAGGCCCCGAGGACCGCCAAGGAGCCCCAGGATGCCCCAAAGAGGCGCCCGCGAGACGCCAAAGAGGCCCCGTGAGGCACCGCACCTGCTTCCAAGAGGCTTCCAGATGCCTCGAGTCTGCCTCGCAGGGGCCCTGCAGAGGCCAACCACGAGCTCCCAACCAACACCCACGACGCCTCTGACCCATCGCCCAGACACAGTGACAGGGGCTGCCGCAAGTCATGTGGATCGAATGTTACACGTTACACGTAACATGCCGTAGATGAACACACCTACACGCACATACACATCTACATGCACATGCATATACACACACATACATGCAAACAGCATCACCTACAGACATACACACATACACATACATACATATAGCTACATGTATCTACATGCACAAACATGCATACATGCTGACATACGCATTCAGAACATGCAAGCCCAATTTGTGCGAACAGAGACGCACGCCGAAGCATGAGTGGCACTGCGAATCCCTCATTGTCACTGCGTGCGCCCACTTGGCTTCTGGAAACTAACCCCTCCATGGAGCATCGTTCCTGGATAGATGAACGCCGTTTCTGGATGGGCTGGTGATGTCGCTTCGGGGTGGGCCAAGGCAGGCTGGCATCGCTTCTGGATGGGCTTGGCTGGCATCGTTTCTGGATCGGTTGGCAACTGGCATTGCCTCTGAATGGGATGGGCTGGCATCGCCTCTGGATGAGCTGGCTCGACCGCTGTTCTTCGGGTCCCAGCGGCTGGGCTGACAGTTCAATATCTGCAGTTCCGAGGCTGGACGGCTGGCGACATCGGAGAATCGTTTCTGGATGGGCCATCGTTTCTGGAAGACCTGATGGGGGTTCTTTGATGTTTTCACCAGGAGGCGCAGGTGCAGCGTTGGCTTTGGCCTTCTTGTTCACGTACCACCTGTCCTTGGCCAGCTGCGCGTGCCGCTGCATGAGCTCTCGCCGCTCCGCGGCGGACGCGCCAGGGGCTGCTGCTGGCACCTCGAACAGCCAGGTCTTCAAGACCTCGTCCGATGGGCACCGACTCTCGCCGATGCACAGCCTGCGGCCAGCATGCATACCCGCCACCGTGCCTCGAGGCACGGAGTGGGCGTGCCGTCGGGCTTTCTGCCGCATCCCTGGAATTTCAGGCTTCAACCCCGAGGAATCATCCAGGGGACCAGCGCCCAACTTGTAAAATATCTCTGGTCCACCCGCGTGCAGGCGCGTCACTATGCATCAAGTGGTACGTGATCGGTACCACTGGAAGCATACTGACGGCATGCCCCAAGTGGTACTTCATCGGTCCCACTTGAGGCATACAACGGGCATGCTTCAAGTGCTACCTACTCGGTACCACTTGAGGCATATTGCCAACATGCTTCAAGTGGTATGTTGCTCGGTACCACTTGAGGCATATTGGCGACATGCTCCGAGTGGTACTTGGTCGGTACAACTTGAGGCATGCAACGGCCATGTCCCGAGTGACACGTATTCGGTACCACTTGAGGCATATTGCAGAGATGCTTCAAGTGGTACTTGTTCCGCTGGCGAGGCGCAGCGGGGGGCGGGGCATACTGCCGACATATGCCCCCGACCGACAACTCAGGCGCGGTGGCGGGATGCGCCGAAGGCCAGTATGATAGCAATTCACTGTCACGCTGTTGGCAGGATGACCGCGCAAAATGCGCAACACCTGGCGACCATCCATGTGGAAGTATCCACTCGGCGTCGGGCCAACGAGATCATGCGGCCCTGGCGGCGGCGGCGGGAGCGGTGCCGCAGGCGCGGGCGGCTCCTCGGCCTCGCCAGG